CCCTTCTCCCTCCCCCTCCCCCTCCCCATCCATCTGCAGCTGTGGGCTGTGGCTGCGGTGGCTGCTGGTTCGGCTGGTGCTGTTGGTTGTGGGGCAGTGCAGCAGCAAGGGTGGAGAGCGCGGAGAACATTTGTTGTCTTTTACTTTAATCACCACAATGGCAGACGTCGAATCTTATGAAAGTGTTCTGTTAGTGAAACAAGAAGTCTTCGTGTATAAAATACCGCCTCGTCAAACGAATCGAGGATATAGGTAACTTAAATTTCCCTGTCGATTTTTTTTTTGTTTGTGGACGAGTTTGTCTGACATGTTTAGTGACAGCTCATTGTGTATCATGTGTAGGTGTTTTCTAGCCTACCAAGGGGGCGTAATCGTAGTGCATGGGCTGTCAACCATATAACTCTATAGAATAATGATCGTGACAAGTTGTGCAAGCAAAAGACGCGCTGTCTGGTGATACCTTCATATTTTCTCCTACTTAACCTAGCACTTTTCTTGTCAATACTTCATTGTTACTTTTCGGGACCAATCTCAAATTTCAATGTTTAGAAAAAATTGAAGAAGCCTTTTTTATCTATTTTTCTATCCACTCTTCAATCTCATAAATTTGCTTAAGTTTTGTTATGGGACTTACTCTGTTTAAATAAAATTACTTAAATTCATGTTGTTTTAGATAGTTGAAATATTTCCCTGAATGTTTAGTAGTTCTGTAAACTCATCCCTTTTTTTATAACTTATCAGTATTGCAGGATTGTGTATATTGCTCTTAAGGTGTGTAGGACAGCTATGCTTTTAATTGTTGACTATGTGTACCATTTTATTGATATTTCAGAGCTACAGAATGGAACCTTGATGCCCCTCAGTGGACAGGAAGAATGCGTTTGGTTGCTAAAGGCAATGATTGTACTATGAAGCTAGAGGATAAGAATGGTGAATTGTTTGCCAAGTGCCCTATTGAGAAGTATCCAGGGATAGCTCTTGAGGCTGTTAGTGATTCTTCACGATATTTTGTTGTTCGTATCCAAGATGATGACGGTAAGTATCAGAGTTATTATGGTGCTGTGCTCTGAAAATCTATTAACCAAAGTTATACCCAATTAAAATTGATCAAATTGTATTTCAGGACGCGCTGCTTTCATTGGTCTTGGTTTCTCAGACCGTTCTGACAGTTTTGACCTGAATGTTGCTCTACAAGATCACTTCAAGTGGATCAAAAAGTCAGAGGAAATTGAAAAGGAAAAGGATAGTAAGGATGAAACACCAAAGGCAGACTTTCGTTTCAAAGAAGGAGAAACCATAAAAATCAACATGAAAATTACAGTGAGTAACCTGTTCTTGTCTTTTCCAAAATTTATCCTTGGAGCCATCATTTACTAATGTCAATTTTTTTTTATTTATTTCTCTCAGAAAAAAGATGGAAGTGAGGCCACTGTCAAGCCCAAATCACGGCCAACTGGAATGGGTGGCATTTTACCTCCTCCACCTGGTGGTGTTGGAAAGATAGCACCTCCCCCAAAAGTAACACCAACTTCATCCCCATCTCATGTTGCATCAAATCCTGTTCCTGGGATGGACCTCCTTAATCTGGGTGGTCCCTCAACCACTGAAACTGCTTCATCACCAGCTGCTGGTAACATCGAGTCTTGGGGTGATTTTACAACAGCCAAGCCAAACCCACCACCACAGTAAGTTGATTTCTTTAGAGTACACTTGCTGTCTTCAATATGTTTTCATGACACCATTAAAGCTCAAACTTGATCTTTTAAACCTTTTCTTTTCAGAGCCTCACCCAGCAATCCAAATTGGGTGCAGTTTTAGGCTTGTGACAACAAGTACCAAATAGAACCAAGGATTTTAGAAAATGTTGTAGTTTTTGAACATGTGAACTGCCTCTTTCAGACATCTTTACATTTTGAAGACCATGGGTTTAAGAATATCAGGCTGGTGCTATGTTTGTTTTGGATTGTTATTGTCACAGTACTGGGCTTCTGTTCTGAAATCTGGTAAGCTGTTGACCCAAGACTTAATACAAGATGAATGGTCTATTGAATCATCATTGTTGTTCATGATTGTTTCGTATCTGGAAATTTTATGGTATTATTTCTAAACTGTGTGCAAGTTTAGTCAAAAATCTCGATAGGTAATAAAAGTTTTTGACTTCATATTATGTGGGTCTAGTTTGCATAACTAGAAATCTGCGTAGTTGTTATATGAATGCTCAGTGGTATTGTTGTGTTCAATGCATGTGTGAGTTGGTGTATGTTTATTAATTTTCTTATAGTTTTAGGCGTTTTCCCCCCTTGCCTGTGGAAGTGTTGTTCGCTGTGAATTGTATATTTGATCCAGGTAGAAAGTGTAAGGAAGCATGGATAACCAAATTGGCTTGCCTTACTTTTCTATTGCAAGCTACTCTCTAGTTATATCTGATGTGTCTGGAGCTAATGTGTTTGTTACTATGGATGTTCTCATATATTGGTTGGAATCCATTTTAACAAACACCTTTTATTTTCTTGTGTTTTAAACACTGTACATATATATACACCAAACTTTTTACTTTTGTTGGGCTTTGTTTATAAGTACTTCTTAGTTTTGATTATTTTGAAGATATGTAGCATTCAATCTTCTGATTGTAGTGAGGGGTAAACTTTCATTTGCTGTAAGGATTCTTTAAGTAGTGACCATTGCAGGTGATATAAGTTAAACATTCCACTTATCTCACTTATTGTCTCAATAATTCCACATTACTTTGAACCTCTGCTAAATTTTGTATCTAAGAAAATTATTTTTTAATTGGAGCTGTTCTCCATACTATTATTTAGTTGAAGCTGGCGCATATTTTTCTAGAATGGGTATGGTATCATGAATGTTGATATGGAATGGAAAGATTTTCATTAAACTATTAATTTACAGAGAAACTGTGATGACAAAATGCCTAGTGGATCATAGTTCAAAGAAGTTTTGTTCACACAACAAAGTTGATTTTTGAAACTTAAATCTTTTTTTAATTTATTGGAATGGTCTATAGAAACATCATGCAATGAACTGTCCTTTATTCGATCAAATCCAATACACAGTTGAAAAGTTGAACATTATATTCTGTGTAAAATGATTAAAGTGATTGCTGTTCAGTTAGAGTTATTAGATGTCAAGATGGCAAATTTGTACTTTGCTGGGCATTGTCAAAAAAAGTCATCATTACATTTGTGTTTTAAAAAAATTATATTTTTTTAATGGAGTCTAATAGAGGCCTGTCGTGGAATGTACCGTGTGGAATGTGAAAAGTACACATTTTGTGAGTGTAAGACAGATGGGACTTCTGTCTTGTAAAGCTGTAATACTGTATCCCAATCTGAAAGCAATACTGAAATGGTGACTATTGCAGCCATTTTGGCAGATTGCAGTGTTTATGGGTTTCCATTTCCTTTCTTTTGTTCAGTCTTACTTTTCATAGCTAAAGAATTTAGGTTTTATAGCATTATCTCATTATGAATTAGTATTTCAGACGATAGTTGTGTTTTTTTGTTGTTTTACTGTACTTGCAGATGACACTATTTGGCTTGCAATGATAGATGAGGTTCAACTATAAATTTTAAAGAGTCTCAGTGGCATTTTTGGTCACTGAATTATAAATTAAAAAAACAAGACATCTACAATCTGAAGATGGTGCTGTTTTTATTTCTTTGCGTGGTTCAAGGAGGCAACCCCTTGTAGACTTTTCCTCCCCCGCAGGTATTTGTGGCCTCCTCCCCCAATTTCTCAACGGAGGAGAGTAGGGCGAGCCTTTTCCCGGACGGACACGGCCGCCACCCTCTCGTGGCGCGAGGGAACGTGGACCGTGGGTTGCCTACACACAGGCGGTCTAGGGCACAAATTGCCTACCTTGAAGGCGAGTTTTCTGGGGCCGCGGGAGTAAAAAGGGTGGGGGGGGGGGCTGCCTACACGCCTACCTCGCCCTGCGCATGTTTTGCGATAAGCCCGCCTGGTTCGCCTCGGCCGGCACATGACATGACAATCGCCCGCCTAGCGCGACGGAGCGGCCGCGGCGACGTCTCATCGATACGGCTGCTGGGCCTGGTCGTGGTCGGGCCGCCTCCGCGCTGTCCATGTTGGCGCACTTACAGGCAGACTAGCCTAAGATCGCGATTTTCCTCACCCCCTCTCGCCCTCAAACTCCTATACCGCCTGTGCTTCTTCAGTCGCGACCTTATAGGCTGGTGTCAGTATACTCGCACCGAAGCGGAGGAGGAGGCTGGCGGAGCCCCTTACCTAGAAGACGGGGCGCATCGCCTCCAGGACCACCGTGCTCCAAGAGGGCGACCTGCTTGCACCCCTCGGACATGCTCCCCCACCCGTCGCCGCGCCGCCCGTTCCTGGTGCACCAAAGTTAGATGACCTCTGCGATTAGAGCCTGTTATTGGAGTGTTCGTATGCGCGCTGCACGGGGCCGGCGGGCGGCGCAGTGTTGTCAGTGTTGTGGGTGTTGTGCCGGCCTGTGGACGCAATTGTAGAGAGAGCAGTGGCAGAGGACTGCTGGGCTGAAGTGTGTTGTTATTGCCTAACCTGGATCGGGACGAGAGTAGTAAACTTGGAAGCGACGTATTATAGACATGAAGACGAAGAGGACGGTCGCAGACTCACACGAGTTGAGGTGAGTGTAGTTGACAACAAAACTTGATCATTAGTACTTAGTACCTAGTGCGCATAGGTGCGGCTTTGGTCTTCCCTTTGGGTTGAGACACTCACCGCGTCTGCGGTCTGGTGGAGGTACGATGATGGATTTTAAGAGTGATGGTTAATGAAAATGTCAGTCATCATTCGCCGGCCCAAGTTCACAACACACCGGCACTTGTTTTCGCGCGTGTCGTCTGCTATTGGAGGAATAGGGGGAGGAGGCTGCGTGAAGTAAAGTTTTCACCTCAAGCCCAAGATCTACACGTGAACCCGGCCGGCCGGCACTTTTGTCGACACCTTCGATTCCGAACGGAAACTTTGTTCCTTTACACTTACCTGCTACCTGATCTTTTCTTTAGCGAGTGTCGTTTAATTTTGGTACGTGTTCAATAATTTTATATTGAAATGAGTACTCTTTAACTTAGTCACTCAGTCAAATTTACGTATTTCTAACCTATGTCACGCCTCCGGTTCTTCCCCCAGTAATTTTATTTCTTGGGACAAAATTGTTTTTATCTTCTAGGCAAAGGCATTATGACTACCCGGAAGGTCCTTACCCTCACACTAGTCAGGAATATTGCAGATGAAGTGCTCATGGGTTTGAAGAAACGAGGATTCGGTGAAGGAAAGTGGAATGGTTTTGGAGGAAAAGTTGAACCAGGAGAAACCATTCCTCAGGCAGCAGCCCGGTAGTATACTTTTTCCTGCAACTTTTCTAGCAATTATTAACTGTGTAATCAGTACAATAGTATGCAATATGATTTTTTTTATATTCTACTTCAGAGAACTGACAGAAGAGTGTGGTTTACGGGCTCATTACTTGACCAAAGTTGGTTTACTCGATTTTGAATTTCTGAATGACCCAGTCATTCATGAGGTTCATGTGTTTGAAACTAGAGAGTATTCTGGAACTGTCGTTGAGACTGAAGGTAAAACAAATGTTTATTTCATCACTATCTATTTGCATGATCACGATGTGGTCCTGCTTTTGATGGGTTTTTCAAACCCCACAATGCACAGTCGCACTGAATGTGTGAAATTAGTTCAGGTTTATCAACTTGTTTCTGTTTCTAGAAATGAGCCCAAAGTGGTACAAGATTGAAGACATTCCATTCAATGAGATGTGGTTGGATGACCCAATATGGTTTCCCTGGTACCTTAAAGGCGGGCCTCAGTTCTATGGCTACTTTCTTTACAAAGGATTCGATACAATTTTGAAACAAGAGCTCAAGTCAACTGATTTACCTCCTACAACTACTATCTTTGAAAGTGTCAAATCTCAACAAGCTTAACCAAAATAAAGGAGATGATTTTTAAAACATTATTTGGCTCTCTAGTTTGCCCCAAATAATAAAACCACAGAAAACACGAGTATTTAGGGCGCGAGCAGTGCGAGCTTAAACAGGAAAAGACGCGTTGGGCACACGTGGCCGTCACGTTCGCCGCGGGGTTTCTTATTTATTCCCCCCGCAATAACTTGATTACACCTGATTTTGCAGGGGCGAATGCCGCTAAAAGAGTGCGGCGCGTCGACTCGTCCCCAAGCCTTTGTCACCCGCGGGGACGCTAGGGCGGGGAAGTCCCACCGCTCGGGGGG